AATGGGAATATAAATGAAAACAAAACATTTTCGGATATCATATTGTTGGCTGAACAAAAATGGTAATCTTTTGCTAATTGAGCTCTTGCAAAGGGACAGCCTGTGAAACACAGATTGATAATTAATGTCAGTCCTATCAATCAGGTCATCAATTAGAAAAAGGTGTCAAAAAACTGCCACAACTACAGCATTAGAAAACAAAGGCTATGCATGAAACTCTTGTAATATTTGTATTGCAGTTTGCTGATAGGAATATTAAGCTTCTGCAACTGCCAGTATCCAATCAAAAATAATTCCAAAGTAATAATCCAATGTCAAAAGTAGAAGCATCAAATAGTTTGGTTCCCTGATTTGTAGTTTTATTTGACATTGGTAATAGTGCTCTTTTTCTTTTATGAAGAAACATAGAAATCAATCTCAATAAAGATATCAAACACCATGGGAAAATACCTGTCATAAACAGAAAATGCAAGGAAACAAAAATAAGAAAATTAAAAGCATATTTTTATTACAAATTTTTGAGCCATTGCTTGTAGGTCAATTCTAGGTATTAGCTTTATTGTTGCTCTTCTTCGAGCTTCATTCACAGACACAACCTGCATAAAAAAATCAAATGCAAACAGATGAAGCACTAAGCTTAGCTAAAAAGCAAGAAACTGCAGCTGAAGAAACATTCTACCTGAGCAAGGTCCCCCTTGTACTTCCCATTTTTCACACGAGCCCACGAGCCCTCAGAAACTTCATTATGTTTACTCCGGACAGAAAGCAAATGCGAGATTTCATTTTTTGGTACTATAGCCACTCGACTAGAATATATACTAGAAAGTCCTTTACATGCCTGAATTAGGAATGAGAAAACATGTTTAGCTGATAATACTTACCCAGGAAAGATATCCTAATAATGACATCAGTCAACAGAACAAATACACAGGTGCTAATTTTAATACAGAAAACTGAGTCCTGAAGACAACAGCATCATCAATGCTCTCCAGTATAAAAAATAAATAAATTACCTCAATAACATCACATTGCTTTTCAGCTTCAATGTAGATAAAACCTTTTATATGCTCAATAGCAAATACAGATATTATCTCCAGTTTGGTACCGAGGGATTTCAAGTCAACAAACTTCTGCATGAGACAGAAAGCTGAAAGCCTCTCTCGTCCAACCTACAGGAAGATTTTTGGGGAACACAGAGAAAAGTGAGAAAATCAAAAGAACCATGCACAAAACATAAAAAGATATACCAGATATCATACCGAACATTTCACTTTCCAAATATTTGGTTCCTTAGCAGAAGGAATACTTTCTACTGATCTTTTACCCTCATAATCTTCCTCTGGATATTTAACAAATAAACCTTCCCTGTACCGCTTCTCCATCATCCTATCAAACTCTTCCTCATTTGGCTCTTCCTCTTTTGGAAGTAATGGAAAATCATCAGCTTTTCCAGGTTCACTCTTTATTTTTACGTCTTGACCAAATTCTTGTTCAATATCTGTTCTCAATAATTAGCAATAGAAAAGGCAACAAGAAGGTGAAGAAGAGTTAAAAGGATGATGAGAAGGCTATGAAGTATTATATCATAAAAGGATGATGAAACACCAAAACCAAAGTAGACTAATCATACTTTTAGAACCGATTACAAAACCAAATAATTAACAAAAAGGACAAAAGAACCCAAACAAAGAGGAGTAATCCTAACAAGCTAGGAAGGAAGACACAAAACGACTATAGCATTACTGACAAATAAAAAAGAAAAGAAAAACCACTTCAGCTTGTAAATGTGAATCCTCAAGGTGGATTTTCCATATCATCTGTAGGTTATATACTGCTGATTTGCATCTTCCATGAAAGTCATAGCAGCTTGAATAATTAACCATTTTCCTGTTGTGGTGACTCTTTTACACTTATCCAACAGTGAGATAATTTGAGTCATACAGTTGGCCCAGTGATATCCATAGCACGTTATTTACTTAAGACAAGCAAAACCACTTCATCAGCTGATGAGATATTAAATGATATATGATGCTCATCTGACTATAGAACAGAAAAGCCTGACAATCAACTAGTTTATTATCAGGCATCAACATGCAGCAGCCAATCAACTCCTGATCACTGACTTTGAAACTCTTAAATGTACCAGAGAGCCACTCATTTCAATTAGCAAATTGAACTTCATAACCTAGACAAACCATAGATAATCGTCCACCAAAAAGTTTAGTACCAGATACAGCAAACAAGGAAAGTCCAACTTCCAAACAAGATAAATGCATAACAATCGACTAGTTTATTATCAGCAGCAGATCAACTCAGCTGATCATTCCCAATTCCAAAATCTTAAATATACCAGAAAGCCATCCATTTTAATTTATAATATTGAACCCTGTAGACTAACTGTAGATAATCCGTCCACCCAAAAGTTATCATATTAAACTATATACTGCAAATCTTTGACAAGTGAGTAACTAAACATCAATGAGTAACTAAACATCAATAATCCATCCACCCAAAAGTTATCATATTAAACTATATACTGCAAATCTTTGACAAGTGAGTAACTAAACATCAATGACCATCACATAAATTCATGACAATCAACTAGTTTATTATCAGCAGCAGATATAATAAGCTGAATACTCTTGACTTCTAAAATCTTAAATATGCCAGAAAGCCACTCATTTCAGCTATCATATCGGATGACCAACCAAGATAATCCATTAACCCAAAAGTTGACGAGGAACATATATCACAAATAATATCCATGTAACCAAAACCAGTGGATATGTTCCGTGGCAAGAAGGGAAAAAAAGGTTCTACTGTATTCACAAGGCATATTACGTACTTCTAAAGAAATCAATCACATCGAGCAAGTATTCTTTTTCATAGAAGAGGCAACCACTAAACCATAGACTTGAGAGTAGAAACAAAAGATCCTTAATTTCATGGAAGATGAACAACACTCTATCAAAAGCACTTCTAGTCGTTTCCCTGAGGAAAGATTTGAAAAAACAAAAAACAGGTCAGCTCTAACCCTCAGCCAAGCCCTAACTTTAGCAGAAATGGATCCTCAAACCACCCAGCTCGGATGCAAAAGTGATAGAGTTGAATCCCGTAAGTAGTGGTCCAAGGCACTAAGAAAAGACGACTATGGACTCTTCAGTTTGGTGGAAAGGAGAATAATCATAAGGACCTTACAGAATAACCAGGTACATTTTACAACATAACCAACAAACATTCCAGTATCAGACAAAAAAACATAGTTAAGACAGAACTCCAAAATTATTCAAAGCAAAAAAAAAAAAAAATTCTTAAACCATCGGGAAAGTAACACATAATATAATGTCAACCAATGCTAGAGAGGAAAACCCAATATTCTAAAACGAAAATCTTGGAGGCATCAATAATAATTCTTCCCGCCCAAAATAAGACTTGCATGGTTCATTAGTCACCTAAATATACACCAGTACTCCTACAGAGTCGAAACGCTTGAAATTGTGAAACAAGTCCCAAAAATTACCTCAACACCACAGAGTAGACACTTGAGCAAGAGAATCAATAATTAAGAACCGTGATACGTCGCGATCTCTCTAAATAGCCCCAGAAGGAAGATATTGTAGGCCAAAGGTCGACACAAGAACTGGAAAGTTTTGTTAAAAGGAAGAAACAAGGATAAACTCAAACCCGTAGAAATTCATTCGAAAATAGGAAACTAAAGAGAAACGCAGACCGAAAACAATACTCATAAACTAGGCGAAATCCTTGATATTTTAACCCACAAAGAAGCCTCTTACTTATCGCCATGTCCATCAAACAAGCTTCGAGGTAAACAGAAAATTCTCTAAGAAAAAAATGAACAGCCACATTAAGCTCAGAATCAGTCCAGAAAGTTAGAGAAGTTAAAAGGTGCATTGATACCATGAAAAGTACCTTACAAATTCAGCCCCATTTCACTCAATTCCAAAAACCTAAAATGAAATCTATAATGCAAAACCACAAAAAGTGGACAAGACCATATACCATTTTCAAAATCACTTAATCCGTCGTAAAAATTGTCATCGTCAACGACATCAGCAGCGTCTTCAAAGAACTGTAGTACTCCGGGGTTCTTCCTCTTCCGGCTACCGGAGAAATCATCTTCATTGTAACGTTTCCGCTTCCCGGAATCGCTACCGGCAATTCCCTTTCCCTTGGCCTTGCCCTTTCCCTTCGAGTCCATCTGAATTCCCCGACCGCGATGACAATGTTAGGGGCTTTACGGAGCGCACAGCATAACACCTGAGATTCAACAGAGAGAGAGAGAGAGAGAGAGAGAGAGAGAGAGATTTGGTTGTGTTTGTCTCGCGTGCGAGAAAGTGACGTCCGGGTTATATAGTCTGACGTAAAATGGCCAACAATACTTATATTATTTAATTTAATAATATTTAATATTTAATTTATTACTATGGTGTCTCCTTTCATATATTATACTCGTCAAATACTAAATATATAATAAAAATACAATAAGCAATATACATTTACAAATTTAATATATATATCATATATTTTTTAATTATATTAATAATATTATTTACAATATATAAAATAAAATAAATATTTATTTAATTACAAAATATAATTTTCTTCACAAATGCTCCTTCAATTCATTATTTATTAATAAATTAAATTTAAATATAACTTTTTACTTTATGTAAAATAAATTAAAATGTGATTAATAGTTTTTTTTTTTGTATGTGATTGTCCTTGTTATTATAATTTATATATATATATATATATCAAATATATAATATTTTCACTTTAAAATATAGAATTATAAATGTTTTGGAAAGCATTGAATTCTTCTACTTGAAAAAAATAAATATTTATGATATACTTCACTTATTTTAAAATTAAATATTTTATTTTCTTTAAAAATTAATAAATTTATGTTAAATTTTTATTTTATTGTGATTATTATAAATAAATATTCGTCGTCGACCGTCTTAAATTATTTAATTTTTTTTATATTTGTTTATAATTTATTAAAAATATATATAATTTAATTATTATAATTTTACTATATGTTATTGTTATTGAATATTAATTCGTACCCAAATGAATTTTCGTGTTTAATTAATAATAAATCATGAATTTTCCACCTCATACCACATTATATTTATAGATGAAATGAAACTCTTTACTTGCACGTACTCAGAAAAGAGAAAAAAACTCTTGCACAGGTTTCCCGACAAACACAGACGCAGACACGTATGTATATATATATATATATATATATATAATCCTTATACATCCATCAACCGATATAAACTGCTGAAGAAAAAAAAAAACTCAAAAAGAGAAGATGCGGAAGAGAGAGAAATTATGAGGTGCGGGTTGGGTTCTTAAACCATGGCGGAGTTGTCTGGCTTGATATGGGGATGAGGCGGCGTGAGCGGAGAGGTGGAGGCGACGCCGGGCGGAGGAGCAGGTACTCCGTAAACCTGAGGATTTGTACGGATGTCTTGTCTGCCTTTAGCTCTACCCAGGAAGTAGCAGCCGAAACCAAGCAGTATACAGAAGAGAATCAACGGCAGAGATATCACCACCACCATACCCATTTTTCTTCCCTTCTTTCTGTATCCAATCTCTATATATATATATATATACACACACGAGAGAGAGAGAGAGAGAGAGAGATCAGAGATGGAAGATGATGGGGAGATGGCAAAACAGGGGAAGCTTTAGGTTTTTAAAAGAGTATTGGATCTGGGTGGGGTAGGCTTAACGTTCAAGCTTCTAACGGCTACTTTTTCTTTTTCTTTTTCTTTTTATTGGTGGAGAATTTAATTATAATTTAATATCAGAATCAAATTGTTTTCAATTGATATTTTCATTTTTAATTTAGTTTAAATTCTACTTACTTTGATTCAAAATTTATATAATATACAAAATTATAAAAAAAAACAACAGTAGTTTAATTATTAAAATTTTTATATTCTATTTAAAAATTATAAATTTAAATTTTATTAAAAATATAAAAAATATTGTACATTCTTACAAACTGACAATAATTAATTTATAATACTTAATTTAATAAGAATAACGATGAATAAATTAGATTTAGTTTCAATAATTTTTGACTAAATGAAACATTTTAAAACCCGTAAGAGAATCTTTATCATCAATGAAATTATATACACCGAACCCAATTGCGGATACGCAATCAAGACGTCTTCCATTGCCGATAACATGAGGACAACTTTTATAATCTTTGACAACACGATTTCATATAGAATCCCGTAAAAATCTTTGACAAAATAACAATAGAATTAGTGTCGGCAAAGTTTTATGAATTAGCACGAATTCATATATAAACATATATATTACATGTCTTAAGCTTGGAATTTTCAAAGTCACACGAGCTAAATTATGAATTAAAAATATTTATTAATTATAAATTAAATCGAAAAATC